AGCAAAATTAAAGCAATTTTAATAAATAAAATATATACAAATGTAATAGTTTGATTTGACATTTGAATTTATTTGATTTGACAATGTCGTTAAAAGACATATTACGAAAAGCAGAAAGAAGGGATAACAATCATTACCCCCTCCTGTAGTACGTATAATTTTTAATATGGAAGTTGCACCAGCCTGAGTGCAACTTGCATTTCATAGTGAAACGAGATGGAAATAAAATGCTCGAGTATTAAACATTTATCATTTTTTTAATAATAATAATTAATATCATTAAAATTATAAGTTTGTAATGATCTCTCTTTTATCAAACTTTTAATACTTACATTCAATTTTAATGGTATTTGTTTTTAAATAATGAATTGCCTTAATATCTTAGTGTTTCGCACACATATAATTTACGAGTAAGTCCATATTATATATAGTGTTATTGTTTAAGTTTTACATATTACGTACTTAGTTGATAAGTTAAATAAATAAGTAAGTTTTATTTCTTCTTCACGTTCACACATGAACATGACCCTTTGGACGGGAGAACTTTCTGACAGACGGATTCGCAAATGCAATACCAGACATCTCCGCCTACCAAGCATGGCAACTATGATAAATACTTTCCATGTGAAGCAGTCTATGGGGAAAGAATGTGTTCAGCAGTGGCCTTTTAATAGGTTGGAAGGGTAATGGTAAATAATTAACAATGAACTTTTTTTTATAGGATAAGGCAAAGACATATTAAAAAAGATAGACAGGTTACACACTAACATTATTGTATTTTAAAGTGGCGCAGGTAGCAATATATCTACGTACAGTTATTTATTATGACACGTTGCGCTAACAAAAAGAGACAAATGATACGGCATACCTATCGTTACAAAAAGATGAATATACATCCTTAGTTGCGTATTGATTGCTGCTGAGCGCTCATTGGCGCGAGCGAGTGACATACCGATATGGAAATGAACACACTAACTAGCGTCAAAGTTTACACTAGCGGTTAGTGTTAAAATAATAAAATCAATTATGAACAAAACATCTATATTCAATATATTAATGAGACGTTTTTCTTGTCTCGGCAACTGTATGCCGTGTAATTTGTGCACCACCTAAAAAGGGTTCTCTACACTCGCCATACGAAACACAGCAGCATTAAGCTGCTATTTTACGCTGGCATTCTGTGCAAGCGTGGTCCTTCCCTGGTCGAGCCGACCCATTCGTGCTACAACTATACAATTAATATAGCTGGAGCATAGCTCTACCACGTATAAAAGAACTATAAGAGTGACGTGACGTTATTAAAAGCGTCCCTTTCAACAAACATACACAAAAGTTAAACTGTAAACTCTAGTTGTAACCAACCTTATGTTACATTTGAACTTGATCCAGAACTTAGATTAAGTGCAAACTAGATTATGGGTAAAGTTTAACCCTACTTATATACAGTATACCCTTAACCATTGCCAAAGTTTGTTAAACTCTCGGTATTACTTATTTCTTGGTACGATTTATGAAACATTGTTTCACATACGTAAATTAGCTACGGCAAAAGTTCCTACTATCGTTCTGAGAATGAGAATAAAAATACACTAGCAGTAAAGCAATACATAACCTGCGATAGTGGCGTAGGAGTGTCCATTACACTATTTCGTCTCGCAGGTGTCGTAAGGAGTGACTACGGGAAATGGAATATTTTGCCAGCATCTGTTTTTCCATTGGATGACATTTTATTATTATTTAAATACACATATTTAATTTAAAATTAAAGCAGTCCTATTTACCACTATTATATATTATGCGTTATGAACAACATGACATATTGTACCTTTAAGGAAGACTAAATATATCTAGTTACGTTCAATTAGATGGAGTGACGACCTGATGATACAAGCAGGTAGTCGATATTTGTAAGTAGTCCAAGATCGTACTTTGTGGCACAATATGAGAGTGGCATATGTTCAGAAGTGCACTAGTGATGGACTGTGATCATCATCATCATCAGCCTACGGCAGTCCACTGCTGGATATAGGCATCCCCCAAAGTGCGCTCACTTAGCCCGATTTTCGGCTACATGTATCCAGTTTCTACCAGCCACATTGCGCTCCATCTGGTTAGGGTCCCACACTACTTTTGCTTACACGAGTCTCCACTCCATAACACGTCTACTCCACCTGTTGTCACCTCTGAGACAGACATAGCCGGCCCATCGTGATAGTGATATTGATTATTAATTATTATTATTATTCTTTATAACAGAGGGGCAAACGAGCATGCGGCTCATCTGAATGAAAGTGTCGACTGCCGTCTATGAACAACTGTGACACCAGTGGAATTACAGGTGCGTTGCCGGCCTTTTATAAAGGAGTGAGTTCGTTTCATAAAGGTCTGTAAGTCGTCTCGGTCCGGAAAAATCGCCGGTGGTAAACGATTTCGAAGTCGTGCGAGGAAAAAAACTCCTAGTAAATCGCACAGTAGTGGACCACCAAGAAACGAGATGATGTGGATGGTAACGTAAGTTTTGTCGCGATGTACGCTGATGAAATTTGGCGGCTGGAATTAATCCGAACAATTCCTCAGAGCACACCCCGTGGTAAATACGATAGAAAATGCGAAGGGATGCAACACCCCTTCGCAGCGCCAATGAGTCGAGCGGATCGGAAAGACCTCGGACCGAACCAGCTACCGAATTATTATTTTTGTTTTATTGTACGTGTTCTCAATTTGATATGGATTTATTTAAGTTTTCTATAAAAAGTACTTTCCATCCGGTCATCAGAAGCGACTTCTTAAGGCTAGACACAGTTGCCGTTGCCGCATCGGACCGCGGCGCGTTTGCTTCATGCTTCTTCATTCTCTCAAAATTTTCCTTAGTGATAATATTTTTTTATTAAACTGTATTTAATTATCTATTTAAGTCGGTACTAAGACAGTATATCGGATAAATAAAGCTCCGATTTCAGAAGAGCTATTAAGTAAAAATTATTATATTCTTATAATCTTTAAGTTCTTCATTAATACATAAACACTCACGCCTGTCACCCAGAGGGATAAGCAGAGATTATGGACTTCCATTTGGCACGATCCTGACACACCTCTCTCGCTTCCTCCACATCCATATACCTACGAATACACGCAAGTCGGTTAAAGGTACTCTTGATTTGGCCCATTTTTAATATATCGCCAATTTGGTCGATAAACTTTCATTAATTGAATTAAGAAATATCACATATCAATAAATAGTTATATTAAAACGTCCCTCTTATTTTTCTTCAAACTTATATAGGTAAAATTCTAAAGAAAAACCTATATAAGAAAAAAAAACAAAATAATTTAAATCGGTTCAACCAATTACGAGAAATCAGTCAACATACTCAAAAAGATATACGTATCGAATATAGAACCCCTCCGTTTTTTGATCTCGGTTAAAATATGTTTTCATTGATTAATATCCCATGTCAAATTAACCGTTCTCATATTCTTGTTTTATTAAGATAGTTACTTCATATAATTTTTAAATACTCATCTATAAGAAAAAGTTATGTTTATTTAGACTGGTCTAGTTTAAGCTTAGGAAAAACATCGCGTTTATTTAAAAGCGAGCGGTCGACTCGAAGGCAAGTTGTGGTTTGCAAACTGTGAAACTTTGATTTTAACGATTGCCTTCCAAGATTGAAATACGAGAATAATGCCAAAAGCACTGCGAACTTTCTTGAATTATTAACGTTTCGAAGGGGTATTGTTAATAAGTTACAACCAAGTCCACGGTTAAAAACTTACAAAGGTATTAGCAGTTTCGTAAAGTAGCAAGTACAAGCGATAAGTTTGGAAGAAAATAATCTTTTAAAGTAACTCTTGAAATGAAGTTTGAAACGTTACTATGGAGTGCATAGAATATTGGCTCGGGTGATGGGTTTCTGATGTATTAAAATATCGCATATGCTACACGAAAAATATCCAGATCAGAAGCAGAGGGTAAGGTTAAATGTACAAGATGTCTAGTACTGCGATAACAACAAAATCTCCCTACAATGGGAGGGGTCATGGCTTCTTCACCAGCCCAGTAATATGGACTGGTGAAGGAGAAGTAGAAAACAAATGGTTTAAATCAAAGCAAGTAATAACGAAGAAAAGAAAAAAAAAGAAATTAGTTTAAATACTTTTATTTAATTTCATGTCTAAGGTACCAGGTGAAACTAAGTCAAACAAAAAACAAATGGTCAGAATTACTCGTCGTTCGTTTTGTGAGTTTAGTTTATTTAGGATTTCACAGCGGTTCACGGTGATAAATGAGCGGCTAGCAATATATTATCTTAATGCATTGTGTGCTAAAATTTAACCATTTTTCATTCTCCAGCTTTATATTTCCCACTACGCTATAGCCTTAATGGCATAAATATTTTGTCTTTAGTTTACCGATACTGTATGAGTATCATTTAACACTAAACATGAGAAATATGAAGGTTTAAACAATTGTTTTAAACAATCAATTTCTGCACTTTAGTTATCATGTAAAATATAAAAGCCAAAATCTCTTTTTTAAATACAATATAACACAAAGGACTTGGCACCTCTAATGACTTAGATGGAACGCATTATTCCTAATTGTATCGAATGTTACTTAGGGTCAGTTCACACCGATACGTGACGCAACGCGACACGACGCGCATTTTTAAGATAGTAATAAAAATATGACTTTATTAACTACACAAAAAGATACAATATATTTGAGAAAATTCAAAAATGCCCCGTGGCGTCGTGATACGCCGCGCTGCGCCACGCGGTCAGTAGGCGCAGCGTGCAAATGCGGTGTGCTGTCAGCGACTTCATGATGCATCTTGCAACGTCGCGATGCATCTCGCTACTCGATGCAAAACCACTAGCCTCTTCAAGCATCGTCTCAGTGTGAACTGACCCTTACATCAATTAGTGCTCATTTGTCACTCCATGTGTAGAAAAAAAAACAAAGTAAATGTACAAATAATCATTTTAATCTTCTCAATTTAATCTTCCTTACTGTGTTCAATTATATATTGTATTTCTGCATCAGTAAGATTTTTCTTTTCAAAAGGAAAGTACGGATGTGAATACCACTTAGCGGGAGTCCGAAGTCTATAATTCTTACTAAAAGAAGACAGAATTTCGATTTCTTCTGCTGTAAGAGTGAAATCCATGATATCGATATTTTGCTTGATGCGTTCTTTGTTCGTTGATCGAGGAATAGCTACCAGCCTACGGTCCAACTGGAACATATTTCAGAAAGAAAACCACAGTTTATATTTACATATGATTTACAAGACAAGAGAAAAGCATAAACAATAGTAAAAAATCATCATTTAAATCACCGTCAGGTGAATTGTAAATACGTTTTCCACTTCAATTGAAAAAAATGTACACGAGTGTGATCCAAATGCGCACGCGAGCAGCAGAATACATATATATCACACAAAGCATAAAGTTAGTTTTATCAGAGCAGACGCATAAATGTGCGTGAAGACAGGCGTCGTTGACGGTTTACATAATGGTTTCCTATATTTACGCGAACACTACACATTTAAATAAAACTAGTTTTACGGATTTAATCGCGTATATTAACTTATTTTATATTTCCGACGTTTAGAGTTGGACGTCCCAATGTCTTACTTAACCACGACTACCTTCAGATTAAAAATTATAAATTTTTGTTCCGATCTACGCAGTATAACTTATAGTATCTTGATGTCTTGCAGAGTTGTATGCTTGGTTTCGGATTTAATTTTATTAATTATAGTATCCCAAGCAGATGGTAGCAACCAGCCATCTGCTCTTTTGAAATTAGGATGGTTTTTAATTTAAATAGCCTCGCGAATCATTCTTGGAAAGAATCGGTATTCTTTAGCGAGGATTTGTGGTCTATCAAATTTAATGTAGTGACGGGGGCGATCCTGTACGTGTTCACAGACTGCAGACTTCCCGGACCGTTGATTCTTTACATCAGCTACGTGTTCTTTAACGCGGGTTTTTATTGATCTTTGGTTTGACCTGTATAAGAGAGACCATATTGATACATGATCACCCGCGTCATTATAGTACATTTGATAGACCAAATCAACAAATCCTCGGTAAAGAATACCGATGTCGAACGTTCTTTGCGCCCGAGCTTCTACCGCGCTAAGTGCTACAATATTATTAAAAACCCGAGCCCATCGTAACTATACACGGGACCCAACTCGGCAGCGGCACGTGCCTAATAGAGGTGAAGGTCTTAACTGGGTGCGGTGCCGGGGAACATGTCTTCGAATTTTATTCATACGACATACCGTACTCATAAGCCATACAAACAAATTTTCCTTTCCGTTTTAAGCGTATGCAATGTCCTTTCAGCATTCGCTTTGCATTGACCATTCTTTATAAAGCGCAGGGACAAAAACTACACTCAGCGAGGCAACGTTTTTGTGTACCTACGTTCCAGGCAACCGTATTACGGTTGCCAAGCCAAGCGACTAAATAAAATTAGTTGAATTCATAACGAGATATTTTCCTATACATATACTCGTATAAGGTCTTGACTTGTACAATACATCATTGCCTTTTTGAATTGGAAAATAGAAATATTTTATCATACCAAAAATCTTAAATTAGTCCAAAGTATCAACCATGTTTTATTGACTTACTGCCCAAAATTTGTTGTTGCCCTTTCATTAGAGGTCTGCTGCTCAAGAGTCAATGTATTATCTAAAGTTGTTCTTAATTGCAAACTTTTTCGAAATTGAAATTTTCGGCCATTGAAAATGTCTTTTAACTTTGAGCAGTGGAATACCTGCTGTTGGGGCAATGTTAGCAGAATATAGTGGATGAGAAATGGCCTCTAGATTTAGCTTTACTAACACAGTTATAGTTAGTTCGCCACACAGTTTGTAAGGTATCAATTTGTCAAGTTTTTTTATTTTACTATTGTTCACGCCCTTAGTTGCCCCGACAAAGGTCGACCGTACCAGGGCCCATGAGTGGTAGTCACGACGGGCAACCAAGAGAGGGGCCCAAATAGTCTATGGATAGTTCTAAATTAATTGCAAATAAGCAAGCACAACTTACCGATTTCCGGAGGTAGGGTTGACCACAGGTTACCAGTCAGGTGGTAAGTGATGTGCATGTAAGTAGTGTGTAGTAGTGTGTACATGTGTAACCTGACATTCCCGGTGAAGTCGGACCGCAGATCCTCAGGCGGTGATTTTCTCCAAATGTGCGATCCCTCCAGTGGTCGATCATCAATTGAAACTTCCGCTATTATTTTCACTATATTGGTTTATCAACTTTATTGTACATTTAATTAACTTCAAGGTCAACCAACTCAACGTTCATCATTCATCATCATCATTACAGCCTTTCATAAGTCCACTGCTGAACATAGGCCTCCCCAAGGAATGCCACAAAGCACGGTCCTGAGCCACCTGCATCCATCGACTTCCTGCATGTCTCACTAGGTCGTCACTCCATCTCGTGAGGGGTCGCTCTACACTTCGCCTACTGGTACGAGGCTGCCACTCAAGAACCTTTCTTCCCCATCGGTTGTCGGTTCTTCGAGCTATATGGCCTTCCCACTGCCACTTCAGCTTACTAATCCGTTGGGCTATGTCGGTTACTCTGGTTCTACTGCGGATATCCTCATTTCTAATTTTATCACGCAGAGAAACCCCGAGCATAGTCCTCTCCATAGCTTGCTGAGCGACCTTGACCTTCCTCATACGGCCAGCAGTGAAGGACCACGTCTCAGATCCGTAAGTCATCACTGGCAACACGCACTAGTTGTACAATTTCGTTTTAAGGTTTTGAGGTATGTGTGACAAGAAGATGTGTCGTAGTTTCCCGAACGCTGCCCAGCCGAGTTGAATCCGTCGATTGACCTCTCGGTCGAAGTTGGACTTACCTAGTCGGTCTATTTGTCCCAGGTAAACATACTTGTCAACAACTTCGAGCTTAGTGCTCCCAACAACTACCGGCATAGTTGTGACATGGACATTAAACATGATCTTTGTTTTGTCCATGTTCATCCTAAGACCTATTCGTTGGGAGACACTATTGAGGTCAATGATCATGGTGCTTAGGTCCTCCAGTGATTCTGCCATAAGGACTATATCGTCGGCAAATCGAAGGTGAGTGATGTACTCGCCATTGATGTTAATACCGTATCCTTTACAGCCCAGAAGCTTGAAAACGTCTTCCAATGCAGCGGTGAAGAGTTTTGGGGATATAACATCACCCTGTCTTACACCTCTCTGCAATTGGATAGGTTTCGTACTCTGGTTCTGTACTCAGATAACCATCGTAGCTCTACTGTACAAACACTTCAGCACTTCGATATACCGACAGTCAACTTGGTACCGCTGAAGGGACTGCAGCACCGCCCAAATTTCAACGGAGTCAAAGGCTTTCTCATAGTCCACATCGCCAGACATAGTGGCAAATTCGGACTTCTGTACAATTTGCCGAAGGGTATGTATGTGGTCTATGGTGCTAAAGTTCTTTCGGAAACCGGCTTGTTCGGGAGGCTGGAAGTCGTCAAGTCTGCGCGCGAGACGATTTGTAATGACTCTCGAAAACAACACGTAGACGCGGCCCAGAAGGGAAATCGGTCTGTAGTTCTTCAAGAGAGCGTTGTCACCTTTCTTGAAGAACAAGACCACCGCACTTCTGCTCCACGCCTCCGGTGTAATGCCACCATGGAAGACGGAATTAAAGAGCTTCTGAAGGACTTCAAGTACCGGTCTTCTACCCGCTTTCAGAAGCTACGCTGTAATTCCATCCCCGCCTTGGGCCTTGTCGTATTTAAGGTGCTGGAGAGCCATTCTAATCTCGCTCAGACTGACGTCCGGGATATCTTCAGAATAGTGTCGGATAGGACTCGCTCTTGGATCGTTACTCACACTTGCGTGTGGCTCCAACGTTCATCGAAATTAAAACAAGTTACACACATACAATTATTCAATGTTCCGGGTTCACTTAGCACAAAATTACAAATACGGGAACGAACGCGGCCTCTTCTCGAGTCTCAAAGTTGAGCGTTCCACACAACAAAGCAAAATTCCCTCGCACGATATTAAAATGCCACAAAGCAACTCGTCAAATCAAATTAATGTCAATCAAAGTTAAGTTAATAATTCAAACTCAATACAAGCCTCTTGTCACGAAACGTACAAATTAGACAAATCCATTCGAGGCGGTCGAGACCCAAATCATCGTTAGTCAATTAGGCGCGCACCAATTTACTCAAGTTTTTGACCTTCAAAATCTGGCGTTCAATACACTGTCTCTAGCCCACGCTGCCGGGAGGCGGCACACGGCTGCCCCCCCCCCCCCCCGGCGGCGTTTACTTCAACTCAATACCATCGAATGACGCGCCGCGCGCGCATCCTAATGCAAGTTTTTAAAAATATTACGATTTTAGCCTAAACAACTATTTCACCGCAAATTATCTCATATTATTTAGATTCATAGTACATTAACAATTCGCTGATGTGAGTGAGTGCTAGGTCCGTATAGGTCATTGCAATACCAATACCGTACCGTTTGAGATGCATTTCTTCCATGTCGGAACTTATATTCGTGTCCATGTCCATGGATGCCCAATAAAAGAAAGTATGAATATTTTATTTAGAAAAGGAGTAAAGTTCCATATCTTAACATGGCTATTATAGTTCTAAGTTGCCAGTTGGACAAAATAGCAATTTTAAAGCTTAAACGATTCAGGGCTTTCTGGCTTACATTACTAAATAAAATAATTGTCTCAGGTTTGTTGTACAATTAATTAACGGCACCCCTTTACGAACGTACACAGTGTCGCATGTACAGCTAGTTTCAAATAAAAATACCGCAAGGATTTGAAGCGTGTTAATTATTAATTCTTAATGTTAATATTTTTGAAAATAAAAAAAATAAATAAAAAAATGTACTTTGCTAATTTTAATGAAAACTTTTTACTATTGTAGAAAAAAGCTTGTAAAAAATTATGTAATGTGCCATTAATATATAAAATTATAGAAATATCTCATACTTACCAAATACCTAAGTAAGATCTGTGGTACACTTTTATTATATTTGTCAGCTAAATTCGTTAGAATTGGATGATCAGCACGTGGTGGCGGACCATCTTGTTTACGACCAAGAATAGCTCCAAACGGACTATATGCCATTACAATAACGCCATGTTCACGACACCAATCAATTAACTCGTTTTGAGTTATGGTTGGATTAACCTGTTAAAATATTTATTATTATTACTCAATGTATTGAGTGTAGTGCAGTGTGTGTGTATATAATGGGGTAAACCTAAGTTCAGCAGTAGACTTTAATAGGCTGTAACGGTATTAACATCACTACTCAAATAATTAAAAACAAAATAAAGTTATCATATTTAGGTACCCACAAATCTACGTTCATATAAATCCATAGCTCGTTGGTAAGAATACAGTTTAAAGTAATTTTAGGGCCAATGTTCGTGTATGCAAGTGAAAACAAACATCCGCGCCGTACCGCAGCGTTTATCGGAATCGTTTGAAATATTACAGTGTTTGCTATATAGTGTAAATGGCAGCGATAACATTTTGTTCGAGTGTAAAAGGGGCCTCCTGTTCTCTACACTCATCATACGAAACACAGCAACGTTAAGTTGCTATTTTACGCTGGTATTCTGTGAGAGCGTGGTTCTTCCCTGGTCGAGCCGACCCATCCGTGCTAGAACTATACTACTGATATACCTGCAGCATGGCTCTACCACGTATAAAACACAATGTCTTCACTGAATGGCATTATATAAATAAATTAAAGGAATTTTCATATATTTGAGAGCCATGGTAGTACAGGATTAAATCACTACTCGCCTTAAAATTTCTACGAGAAAATCGAGATTTATTCTTATCGCGACACTAACGATACTGTTATCCACAATTTTATTTTATTTACAGATTTACCACGTACTCGTCCGTAACGAAGGAATCAGCTTTTCTGAGAAATAAAAAATATGCCAACAAAAACATAACTTGTAAAAAAAAACAAGTCTCGCAACTCAGTTCTTCTACCGTAAAAAGTTGTGAGATCCATGTAATACCAAGTCGGTTGATTTATTCAATCCCTACTTAAGGATCCTTCTGTCTTAAATTATTACGTAATTAGCTAACCTAACAACATCTTATAGTGACCACATCAATAATAAAAATCTTTTATATTTTAAATAAATAGATTGACTCAGGCTTCTAGTCTTACCCACAACGAAGTTATAGGGTTTCTAAAATGGCCTGAACTGCTTCGAGAAAAGGATCGTACGGTCGTGCTGCTTTTTTGCTCGACTTGGCAGATTTAGATGCTATATAGAGTTCACCATCAATTTATTTATTTAAAGCTTACAATGTATTATTTCGTTTACCTCAATTTGCAAAACGGCAGGTTTTATTTCACTGTTGTCCCAAAGACGTTGCATTTGAATAATATTGAAATTTGAGACACCTATTGATCTAGTAAGATTTAGATTTTTGGCACTTTCCATTCCTTTCCATGTTTCAAGAAGGTCAGTCATACTAATACTTCCATCTCTCTGAGGAAAAAGCAAATAACAATAAAATATACCCCTTTTATTTAAAAATTTAAAATGAGGAAAAAGAGTGAAATTAAAAGTGAAAATGGATTTTTAACGAAGTGAAAGACTCTTCAAAAAGTAATCTTACTTAATGAAAACTTCGATCAAAAGAAAAATTTAATTTGAATTTCATTTAACACTTTTTAACTTTTTACAAATATCAGTAGTCTACTATAGATGTATGATTACGAAGACTTCAAGATTTTATTCAATAAGTTTTTTAAGAGACGTCTGTTAGAAATCTCCAGAAGTACTAGCATTCGATAGTCGACTGTAGGAGCAGAATCTTTCTTACATAAGTAAGTTTTATTTCAGTAGCGAATAATTACGGGTTGATGATGATTGAGAAGAAGAATGCAACATCATAAATTCTCTTAAGTATTTGCTCTTGACTCATGGCGTGTTTAAACTGAAAACTGTTTTTGTAATAATAAGCTGTTTTGTAAACAAAAAATTAGAATTATCTGCCAGAATATGACTGTAATAGAACTAAAAAAAGGAGTGCAGTTCACATGCGGTAGAAGTGAAATCTTCAAATGAAATAAAATATAAAGTAAAAATATTTCACGGCAAATTATTTATTTAATATGATCATTTTCAACTACAATTGCGCATAAATTAAGTATAAGATAAAATATAAATTTTATAGCAACCAAATGTTACAATCTACAATCAAAAAACTTGCTTTGTAATAGCTCCATATACTTTATTCTATAGATAAAGTCATTTTAGCGAACGAAAATTGATTGACTATCAAAGTGGTACATAAGATATGCGATAGATGGCACAAACACAAATAATTTAATATAAATCGGTAAGCTATGATACTATTTATTTATTTTATAAATTTGTTTATTTTTTTAACTGTTTATTATAACAGTTAAAGTTCATATTATTATTTATTTTTTAAAGAAGAGGGGGCAAACGAGCATGCGGCTCACCTGATGATAAGTGACTACTGCCACCCATGAACAACCGCACCTCCAAAGGAATTGCAGGTCCGTTGCCGACCCTTTAGAAAGGTGTAAGCTCTTTTCTTGAAGGGCCCCAAGTCGTATTGGTCCGGAAAAATTTCCGGTGGTAAACAATTCCACAGAGAAGTTGTACGAGGAAAAAAACTCCTAGTAAAACGTATAGTGGTGAACCGTCAAGCATCCAGATGGTAAGTATGGAATCGTGAATTTTCACGCGATGTTGGTTCGTGAAATTTGGCGGCTGGAATTAATCCGAACAATTCCTCAGAGCACCCCTCGTGGTAGATTACATAGAAAATGCATAGGAATCCAAAAAGAGGGGTGTTATATGTTTAAATTGTGTCTGTCTGTGGTATTGTATCTCCCAAACAGATGAACCGATTTAGATTTAGTTTTTTGTTTTGTTTGAAAGGTGACTTTATCGAGTGTTCTTGAATATGATTCAAGAAATTTTTTTCAGCCGTTTGAAGATCATCAGCTCTTTTTGTTTCGGGGTTTTATTAATTTTTATTTTGAGTTATGAATTGCGTTTTTATTTCGAATATGTAATGAAATAAAATTGTTTCTCTCGCTCTACAAAATCTTATTACTCAGGTAATAACACAACATTTTTAGGCACATATTAAAAAAAAATTTCGTGGACTAAAGCTGAGTAAACTTAACCACTAGGCTGCTGGTCCTGGGTTCGTATATCAGCCGAAGTAAACATCAGTGCAAAACACAAATTATTGGGGTTGGGTCTGCTTTTTTATTATAATAATAATAAACTTTATTTCAGACAAAAGTCCATAAATTGGTTCGTAACATTACATTTTATTTATAATTACTGTTAGTACAAATTGCTTAAAATCTTGAACAAAAAAATTATCATACAATTATGAAAGACAATATCAAAAATTACTAAAATTATTTTTAATTATATTTTGATTGTCCCGTTTACCTTAAATGATATGTTTTTGTTATTAAAGATTCCGTACCTACTTGCATGAAAAACTTTTTTTTTTTGGTGATCTGGCCCAAATTGCGGCATCATCAGAAGAAAATAAGCCAGACTTGATGAGTAAGATAACTGTTATTTCTTTTGATGATGCCTCGTTTATAGGCAAACCACATGTCATATAATCGATCGTGATATGTTTCTTAGTGTAGTGGTTTCTGAGTAGGGGTTTTGAGCACTACAGTAGAGTACCACTACCATACAACAACATCATCATCATCATCATTACAGCCCTTCACAAGTCCACTGCTGAACCCAAGGGAATGCCACAAAGCACGGTCCTGAGCCACCTGCATCCAGCGACTTCCTGCATATCTGAGACCTGGTAGGTTGTCACTCCATCTAGTGAGGGGGTCACGCTACAGTTCACCTACCAGTACGAGGCTGCCGCTCGAGAACCTTTTTTCCCCATCGGTTCATTTAAATTCGATTCATTTATATCTATACAAATAAATAAAATTGAAGCGTCTGTTTGTAATATCAAAATAACAGCTTTTTACTAAATTCAAATGAAAGTATATACGATACTTATAACAAAAAAAAACTTTTAAAAACGTTGTCTGTCTGTCGGTTAGTCTGTCTGTTTGTTCCGGCTAATCTCCGAAATGGCTGGGGCGATATTGACAGGGTTTTCACTGACATATAACTGACGTTATAAGAAGTAACTTATGCTACTTTTATTTTAGAAAAAGCGCAAAATAATTAAACCCTAAATTACACGCGAGCAAATTCGCGGGGAACAGTTAGTTTTAAAATAAATTTACACAAAGTAGCGCCTAATTCTTTTGATTATAGTAGGAGTGTTAATCTTAATTTAGGTTAGGACAAGTTAACGCCTCGGTATTTGCGCATATACTTGTGGCACTATAATTTCTGCTTAGCACTAGGGAACACTTCCAACGATATAACGATATGTGTTTCGTTTTTAAACAAGGCATCATGAAACAAATTGACTCGGCTATAACTAACCGCTGAGTTAATGCCACGTTTAGAAGTGAAACACTAAAAGAATTTCACGTGGATCTTACCTGCATAATTGTTACATATTTTGTATAGTGAACGAATAGAACGTCAGCCTCACTAGTGTTTTACCTAAATTTTTTATCTAACTTTTCGATGGAAAAATATTGACTAACGAGTAAACAGTCCACTTGATAGTAAGTGGATGCTGTGGCCCATAGACATCTACATCTATCCTCGATTAAGAATCAAAATGCAGATGCGTTGTCGCCCTTGAGGACTGAGATGGAATGCCTCGTTTCCAGTAAAAAGGGTCTCCGGTTCTCTACACACACCATACGAAACACAGCAATATTAAGCTGCTATTTTACGCTGGTACTCTGTGAAAGCAAGGTCCTTCCGCGGTCAAGCCGACCCATTCGTGATACAACCATAGTACCACGATAGTAACTTTATAGCTATTCCTTGTAAGTTCTTTTTCTGTATGTACTACAAGTTTAGTAAATCATTAATATATAAATCATATATCACATAATATAATTATAATAATATTTTGTGACTTTTCCAAGGCCTTCGACTGTGTTCACCATGAGACATTAATCAGGAAGCTACAATACTATGGTGTCAAGAACACAGCGCTTAAACTTATTATTATTTCATATTTAAGTAATAGAAAGCAGAAGATTATTATCAATGGTAAAAGTTCTTCCGGGTCACCTGTACTAATGGGTGTTCCTCAGGGCTCGATTCTCGGCCCATTCCTGTTTCTGGTGTAAATTAATGAATTGCCTCACCTTGTAGGGGATAGTCATGATATAGTATTATTTGCTGATGATACTTCCTTGATTTTTAAACTTAAACGTCAATAATTTAAATGTGACGAAGTGAATAATGCTATATCAAAATTAGTGCATTGGTTTAACGTTAATAATCTGCATTTCAACGGAAATAAAACTAATTGTGTTAAATATACAAAACGAATGTTAAAAATCTGAATACCAATGTGTTTTTAAATGGGGAGGAATTGAGCCCTGTTGTATCTACTGTTTTTCTTGGCATCACTCTTGACGCAAAGCTTCAGTGGGGCCCCCATATATCCAAATTAGCAAGCAGACTAAGTTCTGCAGCCTATGCTGTAAAAAAGATTAGAGGTCTCACTAGTATCGAGACAGCTAGATTAGTTTATTTTAGTTATTTCCATAGCATAATGTCTTATAGATTTTGCTATGGGGAAATGCGGCTGATTCAGAAACTTTTTTTGTCTTACAGAAGAGGGCCATTAGAGCTATTTACAATCTAAAACCGAGAGAGTCTCTTAGAGATAAATTTAAAGAAATAAATATATTAACGCTTTCGCACACATTAGCGGACAAACCACCGCTGGCCGCCCCATGGCGGCGCCTTCTCCGGAGAGGACTACTCCTCCCTCATCATCTTTTCAGGTAAGGCACACCAGAACACAAAGCGCACCCTCCTTCGCGGCTTCCAACTTCACACGCGCAATAGACGCCCCCATGTCCGATGCCCGAAGGCCATGGGACTAGGAATCACTAGCACTCAGAAGCACCAGCATTCCTGATCCCAGCGACGGATCTGGTCTATGGCTCCGCCGCCAGCCAAGATTCGGCTGCGGAGGGCAAGGGGAGCGAGCCCCTCACAATACCAACACTCCTCTCTCCCCCCGCAGCCCCACCACCACCGCATAATTAACGGTACGGCCCAGTCAGAGTCGCGGAGGATAGGGCGAGTGGAGCATCGCCATACCAACACTTTTCTTCCCCCGCGACTCCACCTCAGCTGCAGCGATAGGGTGAGAGGTCACCCCTCTCGCCGCAGCCCACCGACACACATCCGAAGTGGGCACGCCAAGCCTACTCGGAGTGGCCACCTCGGGCTGGCCGTACACCACCAAAGGGCCGGCCAAAGGGTTCCTCTTTGTTCACCGCGGGTGACCAAGCCACGGGTACTAGTGTTTTTGCAAAACAAACGTGGAGTAGCCAATACTGGGTATTGTTACTCTAGGGTTT